CATTTCTGTACGAGCCCAGTCATTTTTGTTAGAGTCAAAATCGCCAAATTTGCGGGGCCCCGCTGCAAATACAGGAAGAGACGAGAGGTGAGGCAGCGACTAACTCAGCCTCCCCTCTGATTGCGCAACCCCTCAGTAACTGGATGGAGCGCGGGCAATAAGCGCGTGCCTGTTACTATCTCTCAGTATGTCACCAACGTAATGTTTGTAGACCCCTTCATTTCACGTCCCTCGCCTTCCATACTCAAGGTAACTTATTTCACGTGTGTGTATAAAGATATTTAGGCTCGCTGGTCTCGTCATGAAACTGCAATTAAAAAGCACCAGGGGAGGCAGCTATCACATCTGCCTCACTGAGGGGGACGTGTGTGTAACACGCCCCCCTCAGTGAGGCCACGCCCCCTCCGCGAGGCCACGCCCCCCCCCCACGAGGCCACGCCCCCAGTGTGTGAATCTGGCTCTGACACTAGCCAGTGCCTCCCCAGCCATTGACCTCCCGATGAGCTATTTCATTCCTGAATCCAATAGCCGCAGATTGGAATCGAGACGTGTGAGAAATGCAAGTGGAGGTTTCCTTCGCTCTGTACGGCTTCCATTTGCGCGCTTTCGCGTACATGCGGCGAACCTATTTCTACTCGAAAGTCGCGATGCTGTGCGCTTTGAATGCACTCATCATGCGGCTGTGCGGTTGGACGTGGGACAACATTGTGGACAGTACCGTGTGCGCTCCTCGGCAGGAAGCCGCGGTTTCGTTTTTTTTTTGGAACGCATCTACCGCACAAAGCGAGGGAAACCTGTCACTCGCCTGTGGGAAACTCAGGATACTCATGAGTGAAACAATCCCTGGTTTCACATTTCTCCGTTTTCATTTCAATTGTAGCGTACAGCAGCAACGCATGACTCCGCTATTTCAATACACGCCCACGACTTCCTCAAATGTTTGCCCAGGTTATTGGTTTTGCTCGTGAAATTAATTTGACGGGGCAAATGAAAGGCACGCGTTGCAATGCGATATGGATCTCCGGGCTCCTCGTTCTCATCCCACGTGCACCAAAAGCAGAAGGACCCTCGTGGAAGACACGGGGAGGCGTTCCTTGGGTGAGGGGGGGACGTTGGCATTATTTTCTCAAAATCAGTGCCACATCATTATGTATTCACAAACCCGGTATTTATATATATTCCAAAGGAAGCAGATGGGACATCATGCTCATTAAGGTGGAGAGATTATGTCAATAATATACCTGGAAGAAAGATAAAAAAAAACCTTCGCCCGGTTACTGACAGATGGTCGAATTGAGAAGACATGTAAATGCAAGCAGGTCAATTTATAACACAAAGGGTCCAAATTAACATTTCTCATAAGTATGGCTAAAACAAAAAAAGACAGATCCCCCGTATAGCCTTGACAGCCTGTTGGAGCAAGTGCACTTAGCAAGCACCTATGAAGGCCGGCATGGCACACGAAGGGGGGGGGGGTGGGTGGCCGGCACCACGCCTTTGTCTCCTGAGTGGCAATATTTTTAGGCATCGTACCATATATTCATTTGAGGCTGAGTCGATCTAGAGGAGCTCCAGGATCGGTTCAGACAATTGTCACTGGTGTTGGCCGTGAGCGGCAAATCGAACCCGGGTGGCCGGGGTTCATAGCCCAGCGCGCTAACCGCTACACTACCACTCCCCACATTAACACACAAAAGCATCTGTACAGATTACGAGTGCGTGTTTGCTTGGAGTTTGCATATTCACTCAATCCAAATGATTCTCTAAATTCTAGTTGAGAATGCGTTATTTTCTTGTCCGGTTTTTACCGTCTCGTTTGCATTGATTATACTATTGTTCTGGTTTGCATTGATTATACTATTGTTGTGGTTTGCATTGATCATGCTATTGTTCTGGTTTGCAATATTGTTCTGGTTTGCATTGATTATACTATTGTTCTGGTTTGCATTGATCATACTATTGTTTTGGTTTGCATTGATCATACTATTCTTCTGGTTTGCATTAATTATACTATTGTTCTGGTTTGCATTGATCATACTATTGTTCTGGTTTGCATTGATCATACTATTGTTCTGGTTTGCATTGATCATACTATTGTTTTGGTTTGCATTGATCATACTATTCTTCTGGTTTGCATTAATTATTCTATTGTTCTGGTTTGCATTGATTATACTATTGTTCTGGTTTGCATTGATTATACTATTGTTCTGGTTTGCATTGATTATACTATTGTTCTGGTTTGCATTGATTATACTATTGTTCTGGTTTGCATTGATTATACTATTGTTCTGGTTTGCATTGATCATACTATTGTTCTGGTTTGCATTGATCATACTATTGTTCTGGTTTGCATTGATCATACTATTGTTTTGGTTTGCATTGATCATACTATTGTTCTGGTTTGCATTGATTATTCTATTGTTCTGGTTTGCATTGATTATACTATTGTTCTGGTTTGCATTGATTATACTATTGTTCTGGTTTGCATTGATTATGCTATTGTTCTGGTTTTCATTGATTATCCTATTGTTCTGGTTTGCATTGATTATACTATTGTTCTGGTTTGCATTGATTATACTATTGTTCTGGTTTGCATTGATTATGCTATTGTTCTGGTTTTCATTTATTAAACTATTGTTCTGGTTTGCATTGATTATGCTATTGTTCTGGTTTGCATTGATTATACTATTGTTCTGGTTTGCATTGATCATACTATTGTTCTGGTTTTCATTGATCATACTATTGTTCTGGTTTGCATTGATTAATACTATTGTTCTGGTTTGCATTGATTATACTATTGTTCTGGTTTCGATAATACAAGTTTCGTTTGTCCCAAAAGGCCTGGCAGGACATTCGTTCGTTTCGTTTCTCAATCCGCTTGTCCTGGTGGAGCCGTGGCAGTCGCATGTTGAGTAGAGCAGTCCAGGCCTCCCTTTCCATGGCGACGGACTCCAGCACTACATTTCTGTACACTACACACTACTGTACACTACATTATACACTACTATACACTACTATACACTACACTATACACTACTATACACTACTATACACTACATTATACACTACTATACACAACACTATACACTACACTACTATACACTACATTATACACTACACTACTATACAATACTATACTCTACTAAACACTACACTATACACTACTATACACGACACTATCCACGACTATACACTACACTACTATCCACTACACTATACACTACACTACTATACACTACACTATACACTACTATACACTACACTACTATACACTACACACTACTATACACTACACACTACTATACACCACACTATCCACGGCTATACACTACACGATACACTACTATACACTACACTAATATCCACTACACTATACACGACTGTACACTACACTACTATACAATACACTATACTACTATACACTACACGATACACTACTACACATTACACTACTATACACTACACTACATTATACACTATTATACACTACATTATACACTACTATACACTACTATACACCACACTATACACTACTATACACTACACTACTATACACTACACGAAACATTATACACTACACGATACACTACTGTACACTACACTATACACGACACGACTGTACACTACACTACTATACTACTATACACTACACGATACACTACTGTACACTACTATACACTACACTACTATACACTACACGACTATACACTACACACTACTACACACGACACTGCTATACACAACTACACACTACACTACTGTACACTACTATACACTATACTACTATACACTACACGATACACTACTACACACGACACTACTATATACTACATTACTATACGCTACACGACTATACACTACACACTACTACACACGACACTACTATACACTACACTACTATACACTACTACACACACTACTATATACTACATTACTATACACTACACTACTATACACTACACTATAGACTACTACACACGACACTACTATACACTACACTACTATACACTACTACACACACTACTATATACTACATTACTATACACTACACTACTATACACTACACTATAGACTACTACACACGACACTACTATACACTACTATACACTACACTATACACTACACACGACACTACTATACACTACACTATACACTACACACTACTACACATGACACTACTATATACTACACTACTATACACTACTATGCACTACACGATACACTACTATACACTACACACTACTACACACTACACTACTATACACTACTACACTATACACTACACACGCCACTACTATACACTACACTATACACTACTACACTACTATACACTACACTACTATACACTACACACTACTACACACGACACTACTATATACTACATTACTATACACTATATACTACATTACTATACACTACTACACTACACTATACACTACTACACACAGACTCCAGCTCTTCCTGGGGGATTCCCAGGCGTTCCCAGGCCAGCCGAGCGACAAAGTCCCGCCAGCGTGTCCTGGGCCGGCTCCTGGGTCTTCGCCCAGTGGGACTGCTGCCCGGTGGCGTTCCAGGGGGAGTCTACCGGGGGGCATCCTTTAGCAGGTGCCCGAACCACCTCAACTGGCTCCTCTCGATTCAGAGGAGCAGCGGCTCGACTCTGCGGCTCTCCTAGATTACCGAGCTCCTCGCCCCATCACGGAGAGTGGCGAGGCCCGGCAACCTTGCGGAGAAACCTCATTTCGGCCCCTTGCACCCGTGATCTCATCCTTTCGGTCATTACCCAAAGCTCATGACCATCGGTGAGGTTGGGAATGTAGCTCGACCTGTAAACCTTACATAACACGTGTATATCATGTGCATCAATATAAACAATCCATTCAACTCTATTGTGCGATCACTGCTAAAATAGCAAGACCAAAAATGACACATGGGTAAAATCGTCACATAAATTTGAAGTGTACGTCGATGAGAAATCAAGCGCAAAAATAGCAATCCCGCATTTTTTATTCGTATTTATTTTAACTTTTGTTGTGATCCACGCAGATACACTTTCATTTGACAATAAGTTCAAACTATACCACAATGATCAAACGCAGCATTAACGTGTCCATCTAAATATCACTGCCCATTCCCTCTGTTTTTTTTAAGTAACAAGCTTCAACACAAAAGATGAAAAAAATGTAACCTTCACAGTGTTTCCATTATGGTACCACTCAGCACAACCTCAACAATATCTCAAAGACATGAAGGCAACGCAATAAAGTACGTTTTGGCAGGAAAGCCTTGGCATTTTGCTGCATCAAATCTCAGTAGTTTACAAGGCCTGCCACAATAAAACTGCAGACGCACGGCTGACGCAGACAAATGCTGCTCATGTTTTCGTTACCCTTCAACATCCTTGCAGCAGAACACGTGAGCACAATGGCTTCAGCAACCAGCAACAGCTGGGAAATCGCTTTAAGGATTTGGCCAATCTGTTTCGTCCCACGTGCATGCCATGCCGACTGCGGCCTCACTTCTCACTTGTACATTCGGTCCCCATAGCAAGGGAGCGCTGACCGCCCTGCTCCTATGGACTCGTGTGCTCCATTTTGTCCTTTGGCCGAGGAATTGTTGAGCGTTATTTTGTTTGTTACAGCTTAGTTTTGGCGGCTTTTTCAACCACAGACCAATGCGCAGCCTGCGCTCAAAATGGCAAAGGTTGAATTTGGCGGGCAATGCCGATGCGACACGTCGATTCGTCCCGTGGAGATGCGCGGTGGCGGTACGGGTCAGGGCGCATGGTGTATAGGATAGCAATGGCCGTTATAGCGTCTCTTTTTTTTTCTCCTTCAAAGCACTTAACAGCGTCCACATTAAACATTTTGACGTTTGGCCCATTGAAATAAAACGGAAGAAACAGAGTAAACATTGCCAATCGTTCTTAAGGGGTTATTGCAAGTGAGTCCCATCGTAAAAAATCATCGGTGCTCTGAAAGTCCGTTTTATCCCCCTCCATTCTAATGTAAATACGCCATGGAGAGGATACCATACCCCATGTCAGATCATGTCGGTAAAAAACACACATTCGACTCATGGGCCAAAGTTCACGCAGAGCCCCATGGCAGAATGGTAACTAAGTAAACAAAGCACGGTTGCGTGTTGCACATTCCCAAAATTAAGCCATCATGTTAAATTATTATGTCAATTAGTGTTTGCCTTTATTGTGGGGGGCGGGGGGGGGGTGTGTGTCCGGTACGATTAGACATCTCGTGAAAGTGTGGCCGACGAATCTTGCCTTGCCGACACCACATCACACAACCCCGTCGTGACGCCCCCACCCCCCGCCTCCACCCCCTGACAGGCCACGTTTATGGATTAACGGTGGCGCTACTTCCGTCTGTTCGCATGCTAAGAAAAGCAGATAAAACTACAAAAACTACCTGAATAAAGACAGACATTTGTTTTTTTTTTTACCGAGCTGAATATCCACAGCAACCCGGGAACCTTCGTCCCCTTAAGCTTATTCACATCTGCAAGAGTTGAGTAAAAAAGAAACACCTTTAATTACATAAAACGTATCCAAATAAAGCACGCAAACCATTTGGGCGAATGTGCACTCTAATCGCGCGTGCGAGCGTGTGTGCGTGTGTGTGTGTGTGGTTTGTTTTACGCATCCGGTAATTCCCGTAAAAAGGGAAACACCTCGCATCTGAGAGTTGATGCGCAAGGTTCGTACAATCCGGTTGTGTGCGTTTGACGATCCGGTGGTGTGTATTTGACGGCATCCGCGTTTGTCGGACTGTAAACGGCACACGCACCAAGCTCCTCCCGACTGGAGCGGCTCCGCTTACGCCGCACGCGGAAGAACACCGACGTCGTCGCCGTCCACGTACAAGTTTCACAATATCAGGTGGCCCGTCGCCAACCTCCCGAGGCGAAGGACGCTCGTGGGGCACGGCGCACGACAGAAGCGGCAGCTGGCTCTTTAGGCGACGGACAACAACAAAAAAAAAGAGAGACCCGACGTATACCGCGGTAACTTCTGCACAATTTTTGACTGATTTTTTTTTTTTCATTTTGAGCGAATCGTTGCGTTTCCGTTGATCGCAACAAACTGGAGTCGTCGCTCTCCTCTTCAGCCCATTGCAAATCCCCCGACGGCTGCACGGTTTCCATCACCCCCCCCCTCCCCCCCCGTTGATCAAACACAGATTTTGGCCCCGGAGTTTAAAAGTCGCACTGTACACAAATGGCTTTTGGAAACAAGAAAAGTAAGACCGCTTCAATAGTTTGAAATGTTCACGAAACTAAACTTTTTTTTTTAATCCCTTTTAACAATATCTTCTGTTTGAAACTCTTTGGCATGAATAAACCTGTGACTTGAAAAGAAACTGGATAACGAACTAAACGAAGCTACTGGATGAAGCGAAAACCGAGCCCAAAATCAGACCATATCTTCCATGACCTCAAGGACGATGGTGCTAGGTCCCGTCAGGATGAGGTTGCTCAGGGTGCGGTAGTCGAGAGACAGAACGTTGTGCCCGTTCACCGACACCACAAACTGGCAAACCTGCACGGCCGCAAACAGCAAACGCGACGGCATCAGAGTTGGCTCCAAACACAAAAACCAGCAACGGTGTTCTCCGAGAAGTACGGGTTTTGCATGCGCACGCGTGATCTTAAATATGCGCGCGTGAAATTACTTTGCTCATTTACAGAGTCTGTAGAAGTGCCAGCTTCAGTGTGATATCTCACACGGAAGTGAGAAAATACAAATGTACATTGCCAATCGACTGCAGGGAGAAGGCTACCCCCCTCCCGATGGTTGTCAGTCAGGGAGGTCGTTTGGCCATACTTCACAACGGAGGTCAGTGTGGGTGAGTGAAATGGCCGATGTCGGCCATGGCTGGGAATCAACCTCGGGCTGCCGGGTTCAAAGCGCAGGGTCGCTAGCCGCTCCACCCACCCGGAACTCTCAATATCGTGATTGCATTTTGATTTAAAGCTTTCGTAACTGCAGGGATTCATATTCTTGGTTCTGTCGGTAAAGTCACGTAGAAGGGAAAGCAAGAACATTTTGTGGTTTTCACACCTGATGATGATTGCTTGTGTTGCAGTCGAAACGTCGTGAGAATTTTATTGTTTTATATTTTTATTATTTTATTGTTTCCCTTCTACGTGACTTTACCGAAAGGACCAAGAATATCGTGATTGCAGTCGTCCATCCTAGCTTCGCGACTGTCCAAGGAAGCGACCGTGACGGAGCATCTGGAGATTCTAAGGCTCGGCACACATTCGTCAACCACACGAAGCCGGGAGTTTGTTTCGAGTGCGTAATGTACACTTGTCTAAATGTCATTAGGCATCCCCATCCAGATCAATATCAGAGTGATAAATCTGCCCTCCCCCCCCCCCCACACAGCCACTTTTATCTCCGCAGTTATTTTGCTGTAACTGATATTTGTAACTGGCCGAGTCAACCTAGGAGAGGCGTGGAGCCGGTTCACAGATGGCCCTTGTCGGTGATGTGCATGGCTGGGAATCGAACTCGGGCCACCGAGAGTTAAGAACAGTGCGCTAACCGCCACGGCACGGCTCACACTCGCTCGCACGGACAAACACACACAACACGAGCACGCAAGATGTAACTAACACTTGAATATTGGATGGCAAAAACTCCAGGTACCTTCATGCCAGCTGTGGCCGCGGGCCCGCTGGGATCCACAGCCTGGATGTGGCACGGTTGAGCTCCCCGCACCACGAACCCCCAACCAACTGCATCCCCCAGCACCTGCACGTGCCACCAAAACAACGACAAAGATCCCCCGTGTAGCCTTAACAGACGCTGTTGGAGCACTTGCTGTTAAGCGAGCACCTTTCAAGGGTGGAACGGGGGGGGCTGGGTGGCCATGCACCACGCCCGGCCGGCTTTGTCTCCCTAGTGGCGATATCATCTGTCCGTCCTGTACGGGATAGAGTATTGTCCCCTTGCACGCGTGGGTTTCCTCCAGGGGTTCCAGTTTCCTCACACACGTGTAAACTCATTTAAAGGCTGAAACATTATTTATAGGACAGCAGAGCTTGGGAAATTGTTGGTAGCGCCAGCATGTCTGCTGGTTCCTCAGCAATTGAGAAGCAATATTCACGAACGACTCAATATATACAAAACCAAAATAAACATCCCATGCAATTCAATTCCTAGTCAAACACAAGATGTATTTTTTTCTGGAAGCGTTTGCACATTTTTGTAACAACTGATCGATTTTCCGAAACACTTTGAAATCTCAATAAACACTGCCCATTCTACACATTCTAACAAAATCGCTCACTGGGAAAAAAAAACATTGTCTGGAGTTGTCCTCAGCAGCAAACGTGTTGTGGCCAATAATAACTCTTCGTTTACTCGCCAAACGGTACGTTGTGCGCTGTTTTCACCCGTCTGTCATTCGCTCGCTCACTCATTCGGAACAGAAGATACTGGCATTATCGTGCGCTGTATCCACCGGCCATTCATTCACAGCGGACAACCCTGTTGCACGCACCGTTCCGTCCGTTTCTCATTCACTATTTTCATCCCCGACTCACCGTCAATGTTTTCTTGAGGAAGGGGGCGCCCGCCATCAGCAGTTCCTCAACAGACACGGGACGTTTCAACACTGTGGCGCAAAAAAACAAACAAAAAATGGGAACAAACAGAGCCGTTGTTTTACAAAGACAACCTCTCTATCTCCACACACACACACACATATACCACACACAGACGCAGAAGTTACGTAATGAGCTCACATTTTTTTAGCAGTCGAAAAAAAAAACCACCGCACGGAAAAAATGCGCGGCACGCCGATCCCCGCAGCCGTTGTTTGAGTGGTGCCCACTGTACGAGCAGGCCATGAGCTCGTGAAAGGAGAGAAAAAAAAAGGCGTGACGTGGACGAGTCCCATGGTGGGCGATCGCTCGCACGGGCGGAAAGTCGCCTCTCTCCGTGAACGCATGAAATGCAAATCGCGCGAACGTATGTTAACCCGGGCCCCACGCCTTGGGTTCACGTCGGCGGGTTCTTTACGTCGAGGAATGACGTTCGCTCGAAGAGGAAAGGTGCAGTTTTGGTTCACGGTAGTTACCCGATCAAACATTCATGGACATTTTTATTTTAACAGCTGGGAAAAAAAGAGACGTAGACGTCGCAGCCCCCAGCTGCTGCAAGGGTCACACGCGCACCCGACACGTGCGATTCTATGCGTGTACCGCACGCTGATGAATCAACGACTCGGCGTGCTTCGCACGAGCGAGGCACTTCTCAGTCAGCGTGCGAGCTGCATTTCAAGCTCCCGCATCCAGCGGGCTTCTATGAATCCGGAGCGGAAATAAAAGGAGATATTTTCTTGCGTGGTGACGAATTCATACACAATGCCCGTAAAGTGCACTGTGAGAGCAAGCTTAGCTTTTAAAACGCAGCTTGCCCCCCGTCGCTTGGCTCGATGAATATTTGTACGTTCAGCGCGCATGATTGGCCGGCGACATGAAGGCGAAGTTTTTTTAGTTCCACCGCGGGATCCAGTCGGGGGCTGTCTATCGCGACGAAGCCTGACGCGACACACAGTTGTTGACAGCGATGAGGTTGTAAACGAGGGATCGTACCTGACCGGGGCATGTACAGCATGGGAGGAGGGCTGCTGCTCAGGTTCAGGATGGCATTCCAGTAGCCGTTGCTGGTGGTGGTGCCCGTGCTGCTGTTGCTCACGCTGTTGCGTCGCATCACTATCTCCTTCGCCGGATTCACTGCTCGACGACGCCACGCAGCCGGACCGGCAAAAATGAATTAACGTCGCGAAAGAAAAGGCACCGCGTGTCACCGTGAACTTCGCGTGCACCGCAACGAGTCTTGACGGTGTTTGAAGGCTCAAAATGCCTTTTAAGTATTTTTTTCTAACCGAGGTTTTAACTTAACACTTTGTGAGCCAATGGCATCACTGCGATGCGACGTCGGAATTTTGCGACCGAGCAGTGCTGAGAAAGCTGCACTTAAACGATTAAAAAGATTAAGCATTGAGACAATTGTGGCAAGAACAGGTCTGCCTGACCGGTTTTACACACTTGTAAAAGTGGAAATGCTTCTTCCCTCGTCCTCTGAGCCAAATAAGCGCAGATGCTCAGAGCGGGTCACATGTCTTTTTTTTTCCTGCCAGAAGTGGACACATGATGCTTGTGTCTAATAATGAATGAGTCTCAAAATACAACAATTTGGATTTAAAAAAAGAGTCGAATTGCGATCTTCTGCACAAAATGTAAAACACTCATTCATGGAATTGGCCAAACAAAAAGATAGCAGCACTCCCTCCCAAACAAGAGAGTTTTAAAGTCGTCTCTCCTGGGCAAATGCCATTATTGTCATAAGTAGCAATGCGCAGGGATAATTGGAACATAGATTTATTTTTAGAAGACTTATCTGTCAGGGGGAAGACGTAAGGTGTGGAATACAACAGGGGCGGTGAGACGAGAGAGATGATGGGATTGTAAAGGAGCCAATTTAAACACTTGATAGAAAGGGAGAGTCGGTAGAATAATGTACGACACCGCACGCTACAAACATGTTGTCTTGTAATGGTTTGAAAATGTGTGACTAAATGTGAGCAACGACAAGAGACTGAGTCCGTTTCTCGCTATGGTGGCTTCATTATATTTAAGTTTTCCAACCATAATAATAGTGTTGGAGGAGTTTTCTAAAAATACACTGCGATTTGTGTCATTATAACTTTCGAATTGTTACCGGAATTCCATCGACTAAACACAGCCTCGTCAATTAGTGTCACATGACAATATATATGTTTTTCAGAGATTTGTCAAAAAGGTTGCTTTCTCTTATGTATATGTATCACTTTCCTCAATGGCTATTTGTAGATTTGCCATATGTTTAAAATAATGGAACACTAAAGACTTGGATTCTCACCATAACCACAGTCCCAAGTGTCACATGACAGTTATTTTTGGCAATTGTGGCTAATAAAAATGAAAAAAAAAACTAAAACATGAGGTTTTTTTTTTTTAAACCAACAGCGCATATGGGTTTCATCAAACACATGCCACCCATATATAAACTGGCCCAACAAAACAATAATATGACTCTGTGCCAATCCACTGCTTGGATGAGGGCCTACAAAACTCTGCATCAGTCATGGGGGTGGTTAGGCCCTACTTCACCACGGTGGTCAGCGCGGGTTTTGGCGACGGTGGGGAGAGCACGGCTGCGGAAGCATATGAAGTTCAAGGCGGCAACCGAATCTGATTCACTGCCCTCTGCTGCCCAACGAGTAGCCCCCGCAGCAGCCTATAACGACCTATTTGCGTGTGGCGGTAACCCGTCCATCACTATTCCAGGCTCAACCCCTGCCCGTCTTCCTAGATCTGCCGAGTTCGGGCGCACCGTGGGTAATCTGTTCGTGGACGCAACACAAATGGGAATTGAGCAGGGCGAAAGAAAATAAAAAAATCTTAATTCACAACGGTGTGTGAATTTAGATTTTCCTTCTGTTTTTTCTTTCTTTCACAAGTCGACAGCCGAGGCCTTGACACAGAGCTCACCCGTTAAGAAGCTGGAGAGATCGATGCAGCCCGACAGCAACTGCTTGCGCAGGTTGATGCGGCTCTCTTTGGTGACGTTGGGCCGCACCGTTGGCATCCCGGGCACCAGGTCAGTGACCAGGTAGTCCTGCTGGAAGTCGAGCCGGAAGAAATAGACCAGGTTCCTGTCCAGGAATTGGTCTGCCGGGGAGACTGCGGCGAGCCACAGATACAACCGACAGCCGAGGGGGTGGTGTGTGCGTGCGTGGGTGGGTGAGCGAGTGGGTGGATGTGTGCCGCAAGGGGAGGGCAGACGGGGTGGTAAGGGAGGGAGGCGTGGGGGGGGGGGAGTTGATTTTCATAGAATGAAAGCAAATGCCACAATGACAAATGAGCGTCTACAGTCGATTTGACGAGTACTGATTTTGGACAAGTTCGTCGCGCTCGGCTCTGGCTGGACACTTTGCACACCCCACCGAAGGCTCTCGAGCCGCTGGCCTCGCGTCTCAAATGTTGAGACAGATTTTGTTTTCCCTGGCATGAGCAGAGGACCCTGCCCAGTAGTAAGATCCCCAGAGACAGGATCCTGGCTACCCGCCGTAGTCCAGCTATAGACCCGGGTGCTTGCGTAATAAACAAACACACATGCTCACCCCAGTTCTCCCCTTAGCGCGATCTACACTCAACAGACTGGCGTGAGGATTGAGCTGTGTGCGTGTGCTTATTCGACAGCACACTTCCCGATGTGACGGTGGTGGTACTGGTGCTGAAACATTTGGGTGACGTGTCACGCCTTGGTCTCCCCCCAGGACATATTAAGATCTGCCGAGTCAATGTCCTGCCACAGGCAATCTGCACGATGAGAAACGAGTGGCCAGCAGCCCGTTTCCTCGATTACCAATGCGCGGTGGTGATGCAGGGGGAGGATAACGGCAAGGTTCGTCACTTAAACAGAGCTAATATATTGAGGCACTCTTTACGACAGCTCTGTTCTTCACCTGAGGACGGCTGCTTGCGTTGTGGCCGAAACGTCGTGAGAATTTTATTATGTTTTATTTTTATATCGTTTCCCTTCTACGTGACTTTACCAAAAGAACCAGGAATATGAATCCCTGCAGTCGCGAGAGCTTAAAATCGAAACTCTTCACTACGTTTAACAAGTGTTAAGGCAGCATCAGCAACAGGGACCAATTCCTTTTTACCGTCGATCTCCCGAGTCACATTCTTCAAGATAAGTGAAGGGTTCTGGATCAACTGAGCCCATCGAGAACGTGGGATTTTTTACCAACAGGTCAGAGCCCACTGGAGTGGAGCACTGGCCAATGCTCACCTGCTCATCGGAGCATGACGATAGATCCGACAATTTTTTGTTGTTTTGTCAATTTTGGCAACATTTTGCTGTCAAAGCTATAACCTCACCAATTTAACGCCCCCCCCCCCCCCTCCCCAAAAGGATGTAATCATAATTCAGGCTCCAATTCATTACTGTATCAACCCAAGAGCATCAGCGTTCATCTGATGGTTTTCTAGAGCAACGGGACGACTAGAGACCAAGCACGAGATCCGTGTCATCAGCTTTCAGGGCATCCTTCTGAAATTGCACATGAAGAGAATAAATAAAAGGCCGAAAGGGAAGGTCGACAAAACAAACACAAGCAACGGCAGCTGGACTGCGGGTCATCCCGCAGGGTCACACTGGGTATGTGTGTCAGATCGAAATTCTGTTAATTTCTCAAGCCAGGACATCAAATGATGATAAACAAGGTCTAATCTTGTCATCTAAGAATGCACAGGATTTAGGTTCACGTCACCTGACTTTTCCACAGATTTCCTGGGAGAAGCCTCGTTCATTAATAATGACTCAAAGGCACACATGACATCATTGTGGATCCCTACTTCCTGGTGGATCCAGACCTTGCTTGGCTCAAGTGACCAAACTCTAGAGAAATGCAAGACACAATTAATAATAATAACTTCCATCCCTTGTCGATCTACTGCTAGATGAAGGCTTTCCAACAACGTGCTGGTCACCCAGCAGTGACTACACTGGACCAGACTTCACCGCGCTGGTTTATGCCGGTTTGAACGGCAGCGTGGTGACCACAACTTGCTCAGATGTGGCAGGGAATGGAGCTCTGGGTGCCGGGTTCGTCGTGCACTCCACGAATCACTTTGCCACCACTCCACCCCGGCCTCGACTGATACAGAAGAAAATAAATAAATACATAAATAACAACAGACTGACACCGCACGCCGGCAGCGTTACATGTGCATCTACCCCCCTGGCCCTCCCTCCCTCCTTCCCTCCCTCCCTCCCTCGCCCGTGCGTTTCAGAGCAGCACAGTTCCTGACCCTCTGTACAAAACGGGTGTGCCGCCCTCTTGACACGGGGCTGATGAAGATTCCGGTCGTATCCCAGACCGGGCGGTGGCAGCTCCATGGTAGAGCGGTTGTGGGTGTCGATGTGCGTGGAACGTGCTACGGACAGCACGGCGGGGGTAGTGAGGGACAGGGCGGAGGAAGGGTCGAGGGGTAAGGGCAGAGGGAGGCGGGCAGGGGGAGGCACTCACTGTTTCTGATAATATTTTGCTCGAACATGCGTTGGCACAGCCGTGTGGCATCCTCGCGGCTCATCGCCTCGCTCTCCCACACCAACCAGGTGACCAGCTGGAAGCCGATGAACACGAGTTCGTACACTGCGACGTCATCGCCCCGCGCGTGCAGCACCGGGCTATTCTGTTTATGCAGCCTGGCGGTGGTGGTGAAGGGATGTCGTGGGGGTAGGGGTGGAAAAACAACAAGACGGTATTATGATCGTTTTCTCGTTTTATTTGCAAATTTACGTAGTGCACACGAGTGCTGCCATGGAGCGGTGGTTTATTGCACAGCGCTAACACCTCCCCCCCCTCCTCCATTAAAGGACATGGCGTGGGGAGGGCCTTCACCCAGCAGTGGTTTGACAAACAGCTCTAAGTTGCATCACGTTAGATGTCCAATAAACGGAGCCCTCTCGACACAGAATGGCGATAAACTCATTTAATTCACAACAGCATTTGGCGATCAGGCAGCTTAAGCTTACCGGGAGGCTTCACTTGAAACTCAATGGAGTTTCAATTTTTCTTCCAAGGAGGAAACAATTCGTGGCTCGTGCAACGCGTAAGAAATATGCGACGTTCCAACGAAGGTGTCTGGCGTGCTGCACTCGGGGTGAAAGTGCGTCTGTGTTGGTTTTTCACTCCTGTCCACAGGCCGCGCGCATGTTTGTGTCACAGATACTTCGCCAACGCGAGTGCAGCGGTGAAATAGTGGCGGGCGAGGTAAACGCGAGATATCGACATCGCTGTTAGAGCCCCCTTAACCCCAGCGCACGGTCACATGGGGGAAGAGCGCTCGGCGGTTAAAAGCCAGCGTCGGGAGACACAGCAGATCGCGAGCTGGCAGTGAGTGAGGAGGTTTGGGAGTGGGAGAGCTTTGGTTTTTCAGCTGGGTTTGTTGGGACTTTTGCTGCGATTGTCCACATGAACGCATCTGGTCTCGCATTTTATTTTGTCGAGAGAAAGGAGTTGAATAGATACGAGGGCAGGAGGTCCGACAAGGGGTTAAATAGGTAGCTGTGGCACACCACCAGTCCTTGCCTACTCTACGAGAGCACAGATAACAACAAAACTCAACCGGTTCGCCCATAACGCTGTGGCCTGAAAATGAAAAAATATCTTCGGCAACGTTTCTGGCAAATGTCCCTTGTTCAGTGCCAATATTATCAGCCATCATCATTCCACTGCTGCATGCAGCCCTCTCTAATAATAACACTGGATCTCATCAGAGTAGTATTATTATACTTGTTTAGCCAGGAAAGCCTCAAGCATTTTAAGGTGGATCCTGCAAAATATTCGCAGATAGTATTGCCATGTGCAATCCCAAATGAGCAATTTGTGGGTAATTTTACAGCATTTGGATGTTTGTCCATTACCCAGTTACACTGTAATGTGTTTTGAGCTTTTGAAGGAAACTGGAGAACCCGGGAGGGAAACCCCATGCAGAACGGGTGGGAGAACGTACTCTACACAAAAACAAGGTGCCGATGGTCGGGAATCAAACCCAGAACCTTCTTACTGCCGCCCAATCAGATGGTGGTAAATCACGTGGTCCCCAGGCCTGCGCTGTTGAGAGCGAGTGAGAGCGCGTGCGAGCGAGTGGCGCGGCAGCACTTGCTTTTCAAAGATACGCTGTCCCCGCAAAAACATCCTGACCCCGTAGTTGAGTGGGTAGGTTCCGTCATCCCTGCGGAAGCGGTAGAACAACTTGGCATCCTTGAAGTCCTTGTGCTCGTCAGACACTGGGAGGGGGGGGGGGCGGCGCACACACAGCAACACGCAGGGCTATGATTAGACAGACAAATACAAAGAGCCCCCGTGTAGCCTGAACTGACTGTTGGGGCAAGTGCTGTTAGCGCGTACCTATGAAGGCCGGCAAGACACACGATGGGGTGGGTGGACAGCACCACGCCTGGTTGCCTTTGTCTCCCAAATGGTGATGTTTATACGCTGCACCAGGTCGTCATTTGACACCGATTCGACATAGGGGAGGCCCAGAACCGGTTCAGATATTCGTCACCGGTGTTGGCCATGGGCGGGAATCGAACTCGGGTCGCCGGGTTCGAAGTGCAGCGCGATTCGCGCCCGCACGCACAAGCGCGTGCCGACGTTGCGGAGGTTACAGATTCACAATCACTCTCCCATTCCGCACACCAATCGTACAACCTTTACGATAATTTTACAATGCACTTTACAGGCCAGTTGCGTCACTGCACTTTACGGCTGTCGCCGAGTTGGCCGTAACTCAAGGCGTGTAAGAATTGAACAGTTTATTTTGTGTTGCATTGCCAAGGTTTCTTGACAATTGCGCTGTCGAGTTAGGAATCCCACAGCCGGATCTAGTTCGAGTATCCTTCTGTTAGGAAGCCTCGATAAAGGAACAAAAACACATCGCACCGACCACCTCCGCCATCCTCAACTGTTGTATTACAGCATTTATCTTCATAGTTTTGTTTCTTTTCCCGCATAAAATTAAAGGCGCAGCCCTGCAAATGCTTCCTCACGCTACTGCTGGCGGAAGAGCCTTCAATAAAGGGAGCTTAGAAGAACTCCGGCAGAGGGTAGTTGGCCGACTCTTCCATGCCGGCCAACCGTCTTTGAAGAGGTGTTAGGCCCCACACTTTAGCCCACCACTCGCAACCGGTCGATCAACCGAGTGTGGTGATGACGAAAAAAAGTTAACAGGCTTTAGCCATTTCCGGCAAGGGTACAGGTGTAAAGGCTGGTCTAACGCTGGTGCGACGACACCATTAAAGGAGGCCGTCTCTGGTGTAGGCCAATCAGTTTCAAGGACTTCATAATATTATCAAAGCACATTTGTTAGCATGTTTTACCACAAGCACGTGTGGTTAATGCAGACTTGATCCCTTGCGATAGGTGCCTATATTTGGTGTTTGAATATCTTGCCGGGAAAGGGTAAAAAGCCCATTCATCATCTTGATATCGGCAAAAAAGGGGTCCCGAGTGTGTGGTGAACCCATTCGAACTGCTGGGCGGATAGACGCAGGGCAGGGGCATTTAAGAAACCTGCTCATTCTTTCGAATGCCACGCCAGGGAGAATACATCGAACGGACAACCTCTGAAATCTAAGTCCAGCGTGATAACCATTACACGATGGCAGGATCCCCTTCACGCTGCACGACAACTCTCCACGGTCTCCGTTTGACCGTGCGGTGTGGGTCAATATTAAAATACATATTTAGTGCATCTATTGGTTAAAGAAAGGATACGTACAAACGGAGTGGCAGGATGGCACAGTGCTTATACTTGCATCTCACAGCAACAAGGGCCTGGGTTCGATTCTCCTCTCTGTGTGGGATTTTGTATGTCCTTGCCATTGTCTGCATGTGTTTCTTCTGGCTTCTTCGGTTTCCTCCCATAGCTAAACAAATCAGACAATGTAACGAGTATTGACCAAACATCCCAATGTGCAAAAAAAATCACCTGCAAACGACTTCAATTTGCATTTCACGTAAGAGCATTGCCCACTGCTATGAAGCACTTGGACGCGTGCGCCCTTCTGAGATTCAGTGGAAGCTCACCTAGGCAAGCAGGGCGCGACTCGAAAATACTAACCGTGGTGCACGATGTTGTGCGCCATGAGAACCTGCATGCAGCACACCGCTGAGCCGCGATCCACCACTTCCTCGTTCTCAAAAAGCCAGTCCACGAGCTCGCGCCCCACAAAGCAGTTGGGGTAGGTGCGCAGGTGGTGGCGCCTGTCCTTGATCACTTTTTCTTTGTGCATGCGCTGCCTGGACGCACGTTGGGCCGATGGGGAGAGGGCGGGGAGGGGAGGGCACAGGGGGACGGCGCAGCGACACGAACGATGCGTCAGTCTAACCGCACAATCCCACGGTGCCGGATTATCCTAGCAGCAAAAGTAGCAGAAGCTACGGGCCTCGCACTTTCAAGGAACCCGCGCTAAATACTTTTAAGCTATCAATGCAGGTTCAGTGATTCTGCACTTGCTCTATTACTATAGTACTATACTGCCTTTAACTTTTGTGAACGACTGGGTGTTTAAGGTTAGCGATTTGTCAAATTATCTGGCTGTATAGCAAATGAAAAAATACAATTACTTCACCATGTAAGTAAAAAAAATTGTCTTATAATATTTATGTGGTTTTTCAATTTAGGGCCCCTTTATAACATATGCTACAGGCCCCGCAATAGCTTCATCCAGCACTGCAATCCCACCCTCCTAACTCCTGGCCCATCTCCCACTGTTGTCACAATAAGCATTGCAAACGGTTTTCCATTCAGGGGCAGGGAAGTGTCTGCGCTCAGACGGCTGGTTTTTTTTTCTTCTTTTTTTTTCCTGCAAAGGTAATGAAAAGCAACACGGCCGAGCGGTTGCGCATTTCAAAAATGAGCAGCCCAACGTTGACGTTGGTATGTGGTTGGCACAGTCGGACCACCATTGGGCCCAACGTTCCACGCACACTTGGTCGACGTAGTTGCAGGGGTTCACGGTTGGAGCCCCGAGCGCTGCTCTGGTTCGCGTTTGGAGCCGCGAGGGCCAATCTGGTTCACAGTGGGAAGCCGAGGGCCACTCTGGTTCACGGTTGGAGCCCTGAGGGCCGCTCTGGTTCTCACCACTGGGGGTTTGAACAATTAAAGGGGTTACATGCTGTCCGCTTCCCAGTGCCCGTTAATGATCCCGTTACTTGATTCGAACAAAGAGTAAAGCCATTGCCACGTGCCTGCATCACGCTCTAAATTTTCCAAACAAAATAAATACCTGAAAATTACACAATTGAGAAAGCGCACAGCAATCATCTTGTTTCCCCCCCCCCACCCACTACTGTGAAATTTAGCAGAAACGTCTTGAGATTGCGTGAGGTTTTCTTGGGTAATGATGTTAAATAATGATAACATTTCTTACATGTGTGCAAAAGGGACATCAAGGCTAGTTGTGTGTTGTCTATGCATTCTAATGTGCATAATGTCAACGTGAGACTTAAACATCATTGGCTTTAAATTGTTTCATAAGCAAAAAATAAACCCCCACTCAAAATGGCTATAGACAACGATCGGCACGAACCATTAAATATTTCAATGCAAATCAACGTTGAAATACCGTCGAGCTTTCAGGCAATGAGAAGCATCATAATGTAAATGGATTTTGAGTTTGAGTGAAGTCTTCCGATTGAATAACAAGAATTCCCTTCTGAGAAAAAAAATATTCAGAAACTTTGCTGCATCAGTGGATTTTCTATTACTTGCGGGGAACATGTGAAAGCACAAATATTAATTATGGGTCATTGCCGGGACAAGCTATTGTTGAACAGCAACTTTATTTGCTAACACAGCAGAATCTGTAATTACAATTTGTGCTTGTCCATTTTGTGACAACAATGTTGTAACAACACAAGGCTCGGATTACAGCTTGTGGGTCCAACGTCAATTCTCCTGCATGAGCACCATCCCGGATTAAAGTTGCATTTGAGTCCACAAAATAAGATAAACTTTGTTGAAACAGCCTTTTTTGAACTTGTCTGATTGTCAACGCAACGCGCAACACTATTGGCCAGGTGGGGTCGCACGGCATCATGGCAATGTTTGTATGTTTTATATTCTTTGATAAACAAGTATATTTCACGATGGTTATTGAATTATCAAGTTTTACTAACCATTTTATAAATGCTCTCTGTGTCCTCCACCTGTTCTGTACAAAGAACATCGAGACGATAGTTGAATTCGTCCCAAACGCCTCTCTTCTCACGTTTTCCTGAGGTGCGTGGTCGCCCTGTGCTTTTCCCCTTACATCAACAGCAGCCCGTTTCCTCAAATTGTCGGTACCAACGACGAATGCTCTTTTACATGGGCCGATCAATGCCAAAACGCCATTGAAACGCACGCTGCACCGTAATTACGGATTCACTCTTGCTGAACTGCAGAACGCGAAACGCCCCTTGTGTTGCGGGGTCACCATCTTGCGAATGACTGAGGCTAGGGGCTGTTTGTGCGCTGGGAGAGGCATCTAGCGGTAATCATTTGAAACTCTATGCCCCGCCCTCTCTATGCCCCGCCCTCACTATGCCCCGCCCATTCAAGTGGTAAGAGTTTCATTCATGGGCGGTTTGTGGTTGCAGAGATATAGCGATTTCAAATCGTGTCCATCTGTTTAAAACACCCTGTACAGTGAAGGACAAAAGTATTTGATCCCTTGATGAATTTGTACGTTCGCCCACTGACAAAGAAGTTATCAGTCTATAATTTTAATGGTAGGTTTATTTGAACAGTGAGAGACAGAATAACAAGAAAATCCAGAAAAACGCAAGTCAAAAATGTTATAAATTGATTTGCATTTTAATGAGGGAAATAAGTATTTGACCCCCTCTCAATCAGAAGTATTTTTGGCTCCCCGGTGTCTTTGATACAGGTAACGAGCTGAGATTAGGAGCACACTCTTAAAGGGAGTGCTCCTAATCTCAGATTGTTACTTGTATAAAAGGCACCTGTCCACAGAAGCAATCAATCATATTCCAAACTCTCCACCATGGCCAAGACCAAAGAGCTCTCCAAAAATGTCAGGGACAAGATTGTAGACCTACACAAGGCTGGAATGGGCTACAAGACCATTGCCAAGCAGCTTGGTGAGAAGGTGACAACAGTTGGTGTGATTATCCGCAAATGGAAGAAACACAAAAGAACTGTCAATCTCCTTCGGCCTGGGGCTGCATGCAAGATCTCACCTCGTGGAGTTGCAATGATCATGAGAACGGTGAAGAATCAGCCCAGAACTACACGGGATGATCTTGTCAATGATCTCAAGGCAGCTGGGACCATAGTCACCAAGAAAACGATTGGTAACACACTACGCCATGAAGGACTGAAATCCTGCAGCGCCCGCAAGGTTCCCCTGCTCAAGAAAGCACATATATATGCCCATCTGAAGTTTGCCAATGAACATCTGAATGATTCAGATGACAACTGGGTGAAAGTGTTGTGGTCAGATGAGACCAAAATGGAGCTCTTTGGCATCAACTCAACTCACCGTATTTGGAGGAGGAGGAATGCTGCCTATGACCCCAAGAACACCATCCCCACCGTCAAACATGGAGGTGGAAACATTATGCTTTGGGGGTGTTTTTCTGCTAAGGGGACAGGACAAATTCACCGCATCAAAGGGACGACGGACGGGGCCATGTACCGTCAAATCTTGGGTGAGAACCTCCTTCCCTCAGCCAGGGCATTGAAAATGGGTCGTGGATGGGTATTCCAGCATGACAATGACCCAAAACACACGGCCAAGGCAACAAAGGAGTGGCTCAAGAAGAAGCACATTAAGGTCCTGGAGTGGCCTAGCTAGTCTCCAGACCTTAATCCCATAGAAAATCCGAGGGAGTGAAGGTTCGAGTTGCCAAACTTCAGCCTCGAAACCTTAATGACTTGGAGAAGATCAAAAAAGAGGAGTGGGACAAAATCCCTCCTGAGATGTGTGCAAACCTGGTGGCCAACTACAAGAAACGTCTGACTTCTGTGATTACCAACAAGGGTTTTGCCACCAAGTATTAAGTCATGTTTTGTAGAGGGGTCAAATACTTATTTCCCTCATTAAAATGCAAATAAATTTATAACATTTTTGACATGCTTTTCTGGATTTTGTTGTTGTTATTCTGGCTCTCACTGTTCAAATAAACCTACCATTAAAATTATAGACTGATCATTTCTTTGTCAGTGGGCAAACGTACAAAATCAGCAGGGGATCAAATACTTTTGTTTCTCACTGTATATTCTCAGCAGCTATCCCGCGATATTTCTCACCTGATGACGATTGCTTGTGTTGCTATCGAAACGTCGTGATATTGTCATTATTTTATTTTTTATTATTTGATCCAAAGAATATGAATTCCTGCAGTGACGGAAACTTTAAGTCAAGATTTGTATGTATTGTATGCGAGTTGAACTTCTTTCGCACTGCACGTAGCCAACCGTACTAATGGGAGGTGCGGGAAAAATCGAGGGTGTGGGGTTTAACCAAACATGGATGACTTTTTATGCATATAGAATGTTATGCCCACTGCAAGGGGAGTAGTGAAGGCTATAATGTATGGGGAAAAAAACACGGCACGGGAAGGGATGGTGCCACAGACGTCTGCCAAGATGGACAAAAGGGACAGAGCTCAAGGCGAACAGAACGAATGAAGAAGGAGCTCCAGGCAGGAACGGGAGGAGGAGAGAGAGAAGGACTGACGAGGTCAAGACGTCAAGGAATGAGACGGTGATCAGAGGAGACAGAGAGGGAGAGGAAAAGAAAGGGGGTAAGCAGAAGTGGACTTGCACAGAGGAACTTTTGTTTTCATAGGGGGCGGGGGGAGCGGAGGAATTCAGAGTGGGGGTGGCCAAAGTCACGTGATTTACTTGAGCTGATTTATATACACGTATAAATTATTCGGCGATGATAAGTAAACTCGGTTAACCCATCTTTATAAAAGGTGATTAACACGCTCGCCTAGGGTATTTTTTTTAAATCAAAATGTTAACTTGGATGTTTGTTGAATTCATAGCCCTAGTGGGCTCCTAACCACACCCTCTCAGGCAAAAGTGGAAGCTGGTGAGTGGGTAACCCAGCCTATACTTTTTCTATAACTTAAGACCTGGGCCCTCAATGATATTGATGGCTCAGTTGCATTTCACTATGTTAAAAAAAGCCCAAATAAGTGACTCAGTTAAGCCTGTCATTGTTATGAAAAGTGGAAAATGCAACAAAGTGTTCGTTTAACTTTGGCTTGACATACGACACCGC